CAACAACTCCCTGACAACGCCCGCATCACATTTATCACCTTTTCACATTTCACTATAACATTCTCAATTTGCTTTTTCCACAGACCCTTTTCATCAAAAATTACTCCAAGAAATGTAAAATCCCTCACCCTTTCAATTTGCTGCCCATACAGCGTCAATTTCTGACTGCCCACTTTTTTATTTCCAAAAATCACAAACTTACTTTTCTCAACAGAAATTCTAAAACCCCAATCCTGCCCCCATTGCACCACTCTATTAATAGCTGCCTGCATTTGCCCTACCAGATATCCTACGTTTCTTCCTCTTTTCCAAATAGCTCCATCATCTGCAAAGAGAGATGTGCCAAATGAAGGACCTAGAGAATTAAAAATATCATTTACCATAACATTGAATAAAATTGGACTGATCACACTTCCTTGTGGTGCACCATTATCAATCTCTGTTCCCTCTGAAAGGTCCTTTCCCACCCTGACTTGGATCACTCTGTTGCAAAGGAAGTTTTGAATCCAGTTGAGCATACGTCCATGAATACCACTGTCATAGAGCTTAATCCCCAGGCCATCCCGCCATAACATATCATAGGCTTTTTCAATGTCTATGAAGACAGCCACCAAACTTTGCTTATTGACCAAAGCCTTCCTTATGTCACAATCCAGGCTGAGGACAGAATCCATAGTACCCCGACCTTTTCGAAACCCACTTTGCACAGGTGATAGTTTGCCCTCCCTTTCGAGTCTATAGACAAGCCTGTTAGTAACCATTCTTTCCATCACCTTACACAAAACAGAGGTTAGAGCAATTGGTCGATATGAGCCTGCCTCAGATGCTTTCTTTCCAGGTTTAAGAATAGGCACAACCACTGCCTGCTTCCACGCTGACGGAAGCTTCCCCTGCTCCCAAACATTATTAATAAGAGCCAACAATTCATATAACACATTCTCACTCAATCTTTTAAGTAACTCATAACTAATCCCATCTTTCCCAGGAGCAGACCTTTTCCCTTTGCCAATTGCGCTTTCCAGCTCCTCCAAGGAAAAATACAAATTACACACATCGGAATTGTCATCACTAACTTCGAGCTTGTGCCTGTTTGCCTCCAACGTGACATCTCTCTTCCTCCTGTCCTCTAATTGTAGATTTTCACCACTGTGAACTGCTCTGAACTTATCTTGGAGAACCCTGGCCTTTCCCCACTCTGTTGATACTGACGACCCTTTGTCTTCTAAAGCTGGAATGTCAATTCTCCGATTAACTCCTGACATACGTTTTACAGCCCTCCAAATATCTTTCAGCGAGGTCTCTATTCCCAGTGTACTACAATACTTCCTCCAGCTCTCTCTTTTGGCCGACTTGATTATTCTCCTGGCTGAAGCCCTTAACCTTTTATACACTATTCCATTTTCTTGTGTTGGAAATTTTTTAAGCACTCTAAAAGCAGTTTTTCTCTCCCTCACAGCATTTTCACAGTCTTTATTCCACCATGGTACTTTAGCACGCTCTTTTTGACATTTCTTTACAGGAATACATTCATACGCACTATCCATAATAATCCTACACAAACTATCATTCCATTCACTGAGTGTACCTTCCTCAATTACTCCATCTATTCGTTCATCACATAACTTACTAAATTTATCCCAATCCGCCCGCTCATAATTAAAATACTCAGGATTATGCTCCTTCCTCTTCAATAAAGATTTCCCAAACCTCAAGAGAATAGGCCAATGGTCACTTCCAACATTATCCTCCATAACCTCCCACTCTCCCACTCTGGCCAAACCACTGGACACAAAGGCTAAATCAATACTTGAGACTGTTCCTGACTGGATGTTAAAACGTGTAGGCCTTCCATCATTCAAACAAACTAACCCACTTGACTCCATAAAATCTTCAATAACACCTCCATTTACATCCCTACTACCACTCCCCCAAAGAGGGTTATGCCCATTAAAATCCCCCACCCAAACTATGTGACGCCCAATCTGTGCTTTCACGTCCTCAAGCTCCGACAGCTGAATCTGGATACACGGGTTGTACATATTTACTACAGTAATCCATCCCTCCTCACCCCACACCCTGACTGCTACACACTCGAGTGAGGTCTTAAGATCCACTTTTTGAAACTGGACCTCATTTTTAATAAAGGTTGCACAACCTCCACCAGCTCTCTCACCCCTATCTAACCTGACACTATTATATCCAGGAATTACAAAATCTAAGCATGATTTTAACCATGTTTCTTGAATACAAATAATCTCAGGAGGTGGCATAAAATCACATAAAAATCTCTTCAGCTCTTGACCATTCAAACATACTGCTCAACTGGTGTCAAAACCTCCATCATTAACCTCAATACTTCCATCCTCAGCAACTATAACATCTGCACTTGCTTGTGCACTTTGAGATCTATCCCTTCCCTCCTTAGCTCCTTCCATTCTCTGTTTCATAAAGTGAAAAAGATCCTCAGGCACTACTCTGTCCCCTTCAAGAAATCTCTCTGCTGCCCCAGTCACTACTTTAATCAAATCTGATCTTCTATCACAATTCCTTGCAGCCCAGAGAATATCCACCATGAAGGCTAGCAACGGCTGAGACACAGTAACTTTTGCTGCTTTATGTGCAGGAGCAGCATGGACTGCACCTCTGGGTGATCTACCCTCCCCAATCTTTTTAAGTGCTTCAGCATACGACAATTTACCCTCTGCTTTAACTTTTTCTACTTCTACAGCTCGCTGATGGAAACTACACTCTCTGGATGAAGAGGTGTGGTTGCCCCCACAGTTGCAGCACTTAACCTGGTCACTCTCACACTCAGTAAACGCATGGTTTCCTCCACATTTACCACATCTTTCAGCCCCTCTACATACTGCCGCCACATGGCCAAAACGTTGGCACTTGTAACAGCGGAGAGGGGGTCTAACGTACTGTTTGACTGGATAGCTCATGTATCCCAGCATGACTCGGTCAGGGAGAGTATCCTCTTTGAAGGTGAGCAGAACAGCTGCACCAATGCTCCTAAACCTCCTTGCAGACTCCACCTCAGCCCCTTTAACATTTTGCACAATAGAGTTTTCTGAAATCTCAGGGCTCACATAAATGACCCCTTTAACACTGCCTCCTTGGTCTGGAACAAAACTCTCCACAGGGTTAAGGATTTCACCTTCAGAGCTTTTGCCCGCTGGTTCTCAGTTTTACACATAATCAGGAAGTTTCCGTTCATTAACATTTTTACATTTAAAACTCCTCCCAATTTGTCTCGAATGTCTTCGGACAGCTTAAGTGGATTAACGGCCCTATCACTTTTGTCCTTGAATTTAACGATAATCTTGAATTCACTATTTTGATCCTCCAGACGAGACATTTTCCTCGCTTCCTCGTTACACTCGTCTCCACTGTCAATCCCTGGTCTATCCCTTTTCCGACGTCCTCCCCCCATACGCCGACGCTAGCAACAAGCTGCAGCGACAACGGCTAGTGCACCCCTACCCTACACCCACCGCACACTATCCTTCAACAACCTAAACCAATCCAACACATAAATCATATACAGAGCCTTAACAATGGGAAAGTGCACACTGCAACCAAGCACGGGCTTGAGACTGAAAAAATGTCCACAGACAGTAAACGAAAATCAAATACAGTCTATGTCCATGACGCAAACCGACGAGACTGACGAACGCTGTGGACTCCGGTCAGCAGCTCAGCCATCGACATCCACTTCCGCCTCACTTCCTGAACACTGATCTTTGTTGTGATCCCAACTTGTTTGCTTTTACTTCCGGGATTTACGATTGACATGTCCTTGTAGCCAATGAGGAAAGCTTTCGAACAAGGGGTGGGACAATGGTGTCCTGTCTTATGTTGGGCCTGGACAATTGTGCGTAATGGCAGCCAAAAGACGCTCTCGAAGCTGCAATGAATTTACACTCATAAAAAAATAACTTTGACATTTAAAAAAGAAAAACACACATAGATTAGTAACTTATAAGTACCAATAAAAAAAAATATTGTTTTTATGATGATTAAATGTAAGTAAAGATATTTGGCACAATTTGGCACACTTGTGCCAAATTGTGCCAAATGTGCACTACTTGATGAAAAGGAGAAACTGCATAAAAACTATAAAACTTAGAAGTCTGAAACTTTAGACAGTTGTTGTCAACAACACAATGAACAGAGGGTTTGAATATTGTGAACTTACAATGAAGTATGCCTTTTTTAGGGCCTTTAGAAATTGAAAATGTTAGGCGAGGCTAAAAAAATTGGGTTTTTTTCCCTAACTTCAAAGGATGCAGAGGAAAATAGGAATGACAAACATTATTTTAGTGTTTTTTTACATAAACTAGAAGGCTCTAGCTTTAAAATGATGCATCACACAAGCATGTGAGATGTAAGATGTGTTTTTAAATAAGCAAAGACATTTGGGTATGCCCAACCATTGTGCACGAGCCAAAATGAGGCGGGTTTTAAGAGGTTATCTTATTCAAACATGTCTTTAAACATGTGACAAAGCGCTCTGGGACTCTTTGGGCTGAGAGCTGATTGGCTGAGTGAGGGGGCTCTCTTTCTCACTTTTCTGTCTGAAAAAGCTGATCTAAAGATGTGACAGAGGCAACATGTGGAAAACCCCAGTTACCTAATGTAACTAAGGTTCTATGAATATGTTGCGAAGCCCTTTAGGCTTCGCTAATGCATATCTCTCGGAAGCATCGCTTCCTGCCCTGAGAAGATCAAACGATCCACCCTCCAATCACCTTCACGTCCTGGCATAGGCCAGTCCCCTATAAATAGGGCCATGCACCACAGCTCTTCTCCTTTCGAACTCAGCCGAATAAGAGAGGGCAGGCCTACTGGGCTCGAAGCTAAAGGGCTTCGCAACATATTCATAGAACCTTAGTTAGATTAGGTAACTGGGGTTTCTATTTCATATGTTGCTTCGCCCTTTAGGCTTCGCTAATGCATAACATAGCGAAGCCCAGACCGATGTACTCCCAGCAGGCATGAACTCCGGTGATTGGAGCAAACTCGTGACCCACGTGCTCATACCGCAACCAAGCGGTAGAGACGGAGGTCCTACGAGCCATAGAGAAAGGGATGGAGGGCCACCTCTCCCAAGAGTGCCCGAGCATTCCCCAACCTGCAAAGCAGGAAAGAATTCAGAACAAACCTGGGCAGGCAGCCTCTCCCAAGAGCGCCTGATCCCCAGGAGTGTAAAGCAGACTGCAGAAGGGCCTAGGCCGCCTCTCCCAAGAGCGCCTATCCTTACTGCAGAGGTGTCCAGGCCGCCTCTCCCAAGAGTGCCAACACCTCTCCACACAACCCCCCCCTGCAGACGAGTTCTCATCGAGGTCTGTCGAAGGAGGAACTAGGGCCGCCCTGCACTCAAAACCGAATGAGCCACAGAGTCAGAGGCCACCTCCAGTAGGTAAAACTGCACAAAGGTCGAGGAGGAGGACCAAGACGCCGCTCTGCAGATCTCCTCCACCGAAGTGCCATGGAACAAAGCCACCGAAGCGGCAACCCCGCGAGTGGAGTGAGCCCTCAACTGGGCTGGAGGCAGCAAGCCCTGAGCTTCATACGCCAAACGGAAGCAAGGCGAAGCCAGTGAGCCAAGCGCTGTGGAGACAAAGCAGCACCCTGACTCCTGGTGCCAAACCCCACAAACAACTGATCCGACCGTCTGAGGTCAGACGTGCGGTCCAGATAGCATCTCACAGCCCTGACCGGAGGAGGGAAAAACGGTCTCACCCAGACCACCCTAGATCTGAAAGACGACGTGACGACCTTGGGCTGGAAGGCCGGGATAGGGCACAACTCAATCATGCCCTCCCAATCGGGGAGGGACAAACAAGACGGCTGCACGGAAAAGGCGCACAGATCCCCAGACCTCTTGGCCAAAGCCCACGCCCACAACAATGCCGTTTTGTAGGACAATCAGGCAATGGTCGCATTGTCCAGGGGTTCAAATGGAGGCCCTGAAAGGCCAGCCAAGACCACCTGAAGGTCCCAAGACGGAGCCGACCGCTGGAGGGGAGGCCTGATCCTGCGGGCCCCTCGTAGGAACCGCGCAGAGTGGCTACTAAACCCCACGTGCCCAGTGGTAATGGCCGCCGCGAACACACCCAGAGTGGCGGCCGCCCTTCCATTTCTCCAGCAAGAACTGGAGAAAAGCCAAGACCTCCTGGATGGAACACTAGGTGAGGTCCAACATCTGTCCACGCACCAAGAGGCGAAGAGTTTCCAGCGAACCTCATATGCTTTGGTGGTGGATGTTGCCCTCCCACCCTGAATAGTAGCGACCACTGAGGGAGGTAGACCAAGGCTCAACATGAGCCTGCTTCCCAGGACAGGGCGTGAGTAAAGGGCTCCCCCTGCCTGTCTCAGAGCATCAGGACGGTTCGGAACGGGCCAAGGCGGACTGAGCGCCATGCTCACCAGGTCCGGATAGCACCTGGCTCCCGGGCTGTTCGGCGCCACCACCAGGATGGAGACCCCCTCCGTCCTCACCCTGTAAAGCAGGGCTGCCAAGAGCCGGAGAGGCGGGAAGGCGTAGAGGAGACCGTTGGGCCACGACCGGTGCACCACAGTGGTGTTGTCCGTCTGAAAAATCACCTGTTGGCCCTCCAGTCTGGTCATGAAATGGGCCAGCACCAACCGCATCGCCTCCAATTCCAGGAGGTTGATGTGCCCCAAGGGGGAGAACCAAACGCCTCCTGTCGAGTGGTGGCCAAGCACGCCTCCCCAACCACTCAGTGAGGCGTCCGTGAAGACCTCGATGTGGTGGTCCACAACACCCATTCGAACTCCCTCCTGGAGTCGACCTGGGGACAGCCAGAAGGCGACGTCGTTCTGAGCCCTCACCGACAGTCGCTCCCTCAGTGATAAGCCCCTGAGGTGTGAGAACCACCTCTGGAGATATCGCATGTGCAGCAACCCCAGTCTCACCACTGGACGGGCCGCTGCCATCATGCCCAAGAGTGACTGGATCTGCCGCGGTTGGACCCGAGGTTCACCCAGAACGATCCGGGCCAGGTTCTGAACCGCCGCTTCTTTCTCTGGCGAGAGTGAAGCCGTCATGCTCCTGGAACCCAAGCCCAGTCCCAGATACGAGATCTCCTGGGCCGGGCACAGGGAGCTTTTGTCCCTATTGATCACAAACCCTAGGTGAGCACGTGATTTAACACTCTGGACGTTTGATCCTGCGCATCCTCCCGGGAGGACAGGATCACCATTCGTTGATATACGTCAGTGTCCTGAGGCCCTGACGCCGAAGGGGTTCTAGCGCCGCCTCCACACACTTGGAGAAGGTGCGGGGGGGCTAGGGAGTAGCCGAGTGGGGGACCGGAGGAACTTCTTGTGCCCCCGTGCAATGGGTTTGTGGAAATTCGCGTCCTTGAGGTCCACGGAGGACCTCCAGTCCCCGGCCCTGACGCTCAGGAGTAGCTGTTTACTGTGAGCATGCGAAACAGTCGCTTGGCTATGCAGCCCTTGAGGACGAGCAGGTCCAGCATGGCCCGCACCCCTCCGCACTTTTTTTTTTTTTTTAGGGACTATGAAGTATGGAGAGTAAAACCCTGTCCCTGCCCTGAGCGGGTCTACCTCCACTACCGCCCGGCGCTGCAGAAGCGTGTTGACCTCCCTGTGAAGCGCCACGGCGTTCTAGAGAATTCCGCAGAAAGGAGGGGGCCGCCAGGAAAACTAGAGAGCATAGCCCCGACTCAGCACTCTGTGTATCCAGAGTTCCCCGGAGCCCCGACTGTTCCGATACGGTGACAACATGGGTCAAGGGAAGCACAGCGGGATGGGAGGAGGGAGAAAGGCCTTGTCCGCCCACAGATGTCCCATCCTGGGGAGGCATCGGATAGTGGGGGGCCCGTGGGAAAAGGCCTGAGCCCTAGCAACGGCCCTGGGCCTTTCTCTGGGTGGCCGCGTGAGGGCAGGTGTGCTGCACTTACGTGGAGCCGAGCCCCTGCTCCCCAACACTGTGGACTGAGAGGGGGCCGAGCAGTCCCGCATATTGCAGTGGGGGGGCCCTTGAAAGAGGGCTGGGCCCTAGCTGCGGCCCTGGGCCTTTTCCCGGGTGGCCGCGTGACGGCGGGTGTTCTGCGCTTACATGGAGCCGAGCCCCTGCTCGCCAACACTGTGGACTGAGAGGGCGCCGAGAAGTCCCACTTATTGCAGTGGGAGGCCCCTGGGAAGAGGGCTGGGCCCTAGCTGCGGCCCTAGGCCTTTTTCCGGGTGGCTGCGTGAGGGCGGGTGGCTGCGTGAGGGCAGGTGTGCTGCGCTTACGTGGAGCCGGGCCCCCGCTCCCCAACACTGTGGACTGAGAGGGGGCTGAGCAGTCACACTTATTACAGTGGGGGGCCCCTGGGAAGAGGGCTTGGCCCTAGCTGCGGCCCTGGGCCTTTTTCCAGGTGGCCGCGTGAGGGCAGGTGTGCTGCGCTTACGTGAAGCCGAGCCCCCGCTCCACAACACTGTGGACTGAGAGGGGGCCGAGCAGTCCCACTTTTTGCAGTGGGGGGGCCCCTGGGAAGAGGGCTGGGCCCTAGCTGCGGCCCAGGGCCTTTCTCCGGGTGGCCGAGTGGAGCCGAGCCCCCGCTCCCCAACACTGTGGACTGATAGGGGGCCGAGCAGTCCCACTTTTTGCAGTGGGGGGCCCCTGGGAAGAGGGCTGGGCCCTAGCTGCGGCCCTGGGCCCTTTTTCTGGGTGGCCACGTGAGGGCAGGTGTGCTGCGCTTACGTGGAGCAGAGCCCCCGCTCCCCAACACTGAGGGGGGGTAGAGCAGTACCACTCATTGCTCTGGATAGTGGGGGGCCGCTGGAAAAAGGTCTGAGCCCTAGCTGCGGCCCTGGCCTTTACCGGGTAGAAGCGTGAGGGCAGGACAGCTGTGAGCTGGCGCTCGTGGCGCACAGAGAGCGTAGGAGGGTAGCGTGCAGCCGCGCACTCTCTGCCCAAGAGAGGCAAAGGCACGGGGAGCGCACATCGGTCCCGGAGCATGCCTCCAGCGCGCGCACGAGAGGCGCACTGAGAGAGGCTCCAGGCACTTGGCAGATGAGCAGCGTTGGCCAAGCGCTGAGGCTAAGGAAAAGGGGAAAGAAGTGTTCTTTTTGAGGGAGTAACGGGCCTGATGATGGCTTTTATTAAAGCGTTTTCCTCCCCTCCTTGCAGCTGCAAAGCCGGGGTGGCTGCTGCTCCTCTGCTTGTCACACGCTTGCTGTCTCCTCTTGGCTCTGAGCGGTGCGGGGTGGCAGAGCGGTCCCTGTCCGAGGGATGCAGCGAGGAGAGTAATGTTATAAGCCATAGCAATGACCTATGATGCACATGTCGGGGGGTGCAAAATGGGTGGTGGGTTTTAATATGGTTTTATTCATATTTTATGCATGTTGTGTTTTTGTGTTTTTAATACTGATTCTTAACTGGCACCACCTGAAGCACCCCGGCTCCCCACGTGAGCAATCAAGACACCTGCGCCTTGAGAATAAAAGACTGAGATGGGGAGACAGACACGGAGACAGGCGCAGAGAGAGGAAGAGAGGAGGGCAGAGCCGGTCCAGAGGAGGAGGACAGGGACGTGCAGTCAGGGGAGGCAGAGGAGGCAGAGCCTCACCTGCCATTATTGGAAACTAATAATTATTTTAGTTTAAATATATAATTTATATCCACTGTCCTATGCTTTTAATGTATATTCGGCACGGTTCCCATCAGTTTTGATCATTTCTGAAGTCAAAATCGCCGAAATCCCGTTATTCCTATTCAAAGAGACGAGGTGAGGCAGCGCTCCTGCGTGCCTCACCCCAGACCGCTCCCTCACAGTGTGTGTGTGTGTGTCTGAGTGCACTCAGCTCGTGCAGTTGATATATCACCGTTTGTTTCAAATATCCTGCTTTAAAAACATTTTTTAAACTCCTCTTAGTGTTTAGTAGTGTATTGCACGTATGTGTGTACAATTTATATTTAGTTTAAGTCTTTTGATCGTAGATGAACACACAAGGAAAAAGCTTGACGTGAGGCAGGCGGTATCTGTGCCTCACCGCTAGGGGTGATAGTGAGCATAAAGTTCATACCAGAGTTGCTAACAAACAATCAGCCCAAAATGCTATTTCTTTTGCTGGAAAATGGATGATTTGAATGAAGATTTTTTTTCTCAATTGGACTTTCAAACAAAGAAAGAATTAATATAGACTGGGAGACCACCACTGGACTTACGAGGTTAGTCCGGCTGCGGGGGAGGAGTTTGTTAATCTGTGTTTTATGTTGAACATTGACAGATACCGGCAAAGTAGTGCTTTTCCGAAAAACACTGATTCAAACACTGCTCAAGAGTTCTGCAACTTGTTTAAATTATTGTTTATGTTCCTCGCGTCTCTCTCTCCTCGCGTCTCTCTCTCCTCCTCTCTCTCCTCGCGTCTCCGTCTCTCTCTGCTCCTCGCGTCTCCGTCTCTCTGCTCCTCTCTGTCTCTCTCTGCTCCTCTCTCCTCGCGTCTCTCTCTCCTCGCGTCTCCGTCTCTCTCTGCTCCTCTCTGTCTCTCTCTGCTCCTCGCGTCTCCGTCTCTCTGCTCCTCTCTGTCTCTCTCTGCTCCTCTCTCCTCGCGTCTCCGTCTCTCTCTGCTCCTCGCGTCTCCGTCTCTCTGCTCCTCTCTGTCTCTCTCTGCTCCTCTCTCCTCGCGTCTCTCTCTCCTCGCGTCTCTCGCACCTGCGCTTCTTAAAGATGTTGTTTGATGCGGAGCAGAGTCAGCAGCTAGATTTGTTGTGAGATTATTAAAAGAAGCTGGTTCTCTTATCTTTACAGTATATAAAGTTTGTGGATGTCATTGCATTGGTGATTAAATGCTATTTTATTTGAATAATGATTGTAAATCTGACTTTTAAAGTCAGTGCCTCCCCAATCACAAACCTCACCGCACGTCCCTGGAGGAGGACATGAGAGCCCCGTGGTCTGGCGGCCCAGGCCGTGGGAAAGTGTTTTAGCCTGTGCTTTAGCCTGCGTTTTAGCCTCCGTTTTAGCCTGTTTTAGCTTAGGTTTTTATTGCTTTCATTTACTTGTTTTTAATGTATTTTATAATAAATTGCTTTTTAATTCGCTTTTAATCCAGTGGTCCTTTTTAAATCTGGGTCCGAAGAATCTGCTTTTTTACCCCTGTGACATTTTGGCGTTGTCTGGCAGGTCCCGGTACCACTGTTTTTAAGTTTTAAGGGCTCCATGGAGGAAGGATGGGTGTGCTATCGCTGAGGCCGTCAAGGGATCCGAACTGAACTGCGCGCTGGCAGCCGGGTGGGCCACCCCAGATCCAGCACACAGAGGAGCACCACATCCGCGACCTGGAGAGAGCACCACGACGCATGATACAAGCAGGGGCAGACATGGAGGTCTGCCTGGCCTGTAAGTATGGGCATGTGGTGCAGTGGTGCTCGTGGAAGGCCTACGGCCCTAGGGTCGCGGATGCGTGGGTTTGGGCTGGCCTCTGGTGTGTTTAGTGCAGGTGGGCCCGGCAGCAGCGGCAGGAGTCTGAGGCCCCGGGAGAGACGCGGCGGAGGCCCCGGGAGAGACGCGGCGGAGGCCCCGGGAGACTCACGGTGGAGGCGAACCCCCTCCCCAGAGATTGAAAGGCGCAGGTGTTCTCTGTTAGCAGGGACTGCTAAGATTAAAGCAGGGGGGAGTGTAAGGGGGTGCAAAATGGGTGGTGGGTTTTAATATGGTTTTATTCATATTTTATGCATGTTGTGTTTGTGTGTTTTTAATATTGATTCTTAACTGGCACCACCTGAAGCACCCCGGCTCCCCACGTGAGCAATCAAGACACCTGCGCCTTGAGAATAAAAGACTGAGATGGGGAGACAGACACGGAGACAGGCGCAGAGAGAGGAAGAGAGGAGGGCAGAGCCGGTCCAGAGGAGGAGGACATGGGACCGGGCCAAGGACGAGCACCGCCAGCCAGAGACCACGGGGCACTGAGGCCAGCGGGGAGAGCGGCACCGGTGAGGCGCGCATTGATAGCGCATTGGCGCGTGCGCGCCCGGGCTAGGCCCAAAGACCGGGATGTGCCGGCTCTACCCCGCGGGTGCCCGGTGGCGACCCGTGGTCGGCGAGCGGCTGGCGGGACTGCGGCCCGGTCCCGGGACTGAGAACGAGACACGGGAGGGGAGAGCCCCGTGGTCTGGCGGCCCAGGCCGTGGGAAAGTGTTTTAGCCTGTGCTTTAGCCTGCGTTTTAGCCTCCGTTTTAGCCTGTTTTAGCTTAGGTTTTTATTGCTTTCATTTACTTGTTTTTAAATGTATTTTATAATAAATTGCTTTTTAATTCGCTTTTAATCCAGTGGTCCTTTTTAAATCCGGGTCCGAAGAACCTGTTTTTACCCCTGTGACACACAAGCATAACACCTGTCAAGCATGGACACTGCCAGCTTGCCCCGCTCGGGGGGGGGGGGGGCGTACTCCATCCTGACGTACTCCATCCTGACCGCCAAGGCCAGGCCTCCGCACCCGCGTATATAGTGAAGCAGAGGCACACCCTGAGCGAGCCACCATGGGCACCGAGAGTGATGTTAATAAGCAACCATCTGTGGTGCAGTAGTATTACGCCTGTCCAGCGTGAGCAGAACGTAGCACACCATGAGCGAGCCACCATGGGCACCACTCCAGGGATGAAGCGAGCAAAGTGATGTGTTAAGCTAGGGCAACCATCTGTGGTGTATTAGCTATACGTCTGTTCAGCGTGGATAGAGGGTAGCACACCATGAGCGATGCCACCAAGGGCACCACTCTATGCGGCATGAATAATCCACGGCGTCAATGAAGCCACACCTCTGGGGCTTTCTCCTGCGGCACGACGCCAGCCCAGGCAGAAGACGCTGGACTCGTGGCGGTCAGTCTGGGAGAGTGCTGCTGGGCACAAGTCGCAGATCCGCAGCCTGACACCGGAGGGTGGCAAGTTCTCAGGCGCGGGGATCTTGCTTGAAGACATCCTAGCAAATGAATCGAAGCTTCTCTTAAGGCGCGTTCAGACCAAAAGCTTCAAAAAGCTTTTGACGCGCTTCAACTGACGCTGGGATAGTTTTGTCATTTTGGTGCTTGAAGCTTTTGACGCGAGTGACGCGCCTGACGCCGGTGGGAGGAGCTTCTCTGTTGCCTGTAGTCAGGACAGCGGTGGATTTTTCAATGAGCAGCGAGCCTTTATTTGTTATATAAAGCAAAATAACGTTGTTGTAGGGCTTCAACAAAACATGTTCTGGGTTCACCACAGACTTGAGAGGCTGCAGTGTTTGCAGAGTTCCGTCATTTACTCCAGGAGCTGCGTACGGAGGAGTTTCGCTTTCAGCGGTACTTCCGCATGTCACTTGCCCAGTCTGAGTTCTCAAATCCCGGAGCTCTTATATTCTTATTCTTATATTCTGTTCTTATATTAAATAAACTACGTTTACTAAACAGCATGTGTACAATGATTTTTGTTACTCAGAATTTTACTACTCATACAAATAATATTACTAATAACAATAATGACAATAAAACAGCAGCAGCAGATACATGACTTCTCTTCATGACAGAGACAAACCCTCTGCTGCTGCTGCTGCTCCTCGTCTCCTGATTGGTTGAAGCCCGCGTCAAAGCTTCAAAAGCTCAGCTTTGCTCAACTTCGGCGTCAAAGGGATTGTTGTGATACGCAAGCGTTTCGCGCGTCAAAAGCTTCAAGTGAGCGCGTAGTACGCGCGACTCTTGAAGCTTTTGACGCGCGTCAAGTGACGCCGGGGCTCTTGGCTTCACCTGACGCGCTTTGTCACTCCCGTATTCGTCCCGGAAACCGGATTCGTCCGGAAGTTCAGTTTGCGCATGTCAAAAAGTGTAATATGTCCTTAAGTGGTGACTGGTTAAGTTTAGGCGTCTGATTAAGATGGTTAAGTTTAGGGTTAAGGCTGGGTTGGGGTTATTTTATGGTAATGGCTGGTTAAGTTTAGGCATGAATAGGTAGTTTGTTATATTTACTTCCGCTTTCGTCCAGAATCCGTGACGTAATCTACTGCTACGTATGCTCATTGGATCAAACCGAACTTCCGGACGAATCCGGTTTCCGGGACGAATACGGGAGTGACACGCTTCACCATTCACTTTCAATGGAAACCTGACGCTTTTGACGCCGAAGTTAAGTCCGGTGTGAACGCCCCTTTAGGCAAGCTGAGAGAGAAAGGAGAAGAGCTGTGGTGCATGGCCCTATTTATAGGGGACTGGCCTACGCCAGGACGTGAAGGTGATTGGAGGGTGGATCGTTTGATCTTCTCAGGGCGGGAAGCGATGCTTCCGAGAGATATGCATTAGCGAAGCCTAAAGGGCGAAGCAACATATGAAATAGAACTAGTGACAGAAGCAAAACCTCCTTGAAGTTGGTCCTTCATAGATTGTGCTCAAAAACCAATTGCTTGTTTTTGCTGCTTTTGTTTTAAAGTGATAAACAATTATGATCAATGATGTAATCAAACGATATGATTCCTTGATTAATAAATGTGTTTATACGTTGATGCATTTCCTGACTTGAGATTTAATCATTTTAAAAATCTTTATATCACATTGTGAACCTTGTACCAAACAAAGATAAATATATTTTATTAAAGCCATCCGTGACATTTGCAATAAAACTGAAATTTATTTGTTTTATTTTTTCATATCTTAACCTGATGATCAATGCAACAGTGTTATCTGTTATGAACTGTGTGTACGTGTGTGTGTCTCACGCTCACTCATCTGGTACCATGGCAACGGTTACCATGCTGACGGCTGCCATTCCAAAGCTAATCGTTAGCCTCGCTGTTGTTCCCTCTGTGCAAACCGTAAGCACATGTTGTGTCAGCTGTTCATTCACCTGTTAAAGAGTTTATAAAGGACGTGTCAGAGGTTTATCTGTTAGAAGGACACTAAACCGTTGCCATGGTAGCCGTTGTCATTGTACACTTATATACTCATTAACCATCACTATGGTAACAGTTGCCAAGGCGGCTGTTACCATAGTCCAATCCAATCCAATCCACTTTATTTATATAGCACATTTCATAAACACGCAGTTTCCAAAGTGCTGCACAACATGCAAAATTGCAACAAATAAATAAATACACACATTTATATAAGAAAATACATAAATAAATCAAATAAAATAAAAACACAGAGGACCACACGACTCACGCGGTGTTAAAAGCCAGAGAATAAAAGTGGGTCTTAAGACGCGACTTAAAACATTCCAACGAGGGAGCTGTTTTGACGTGGGGGGGCAGGGCGTTCCAGAGCTTTGGTCCTAATCATAGTAATGGTCATGGTAACAGTTGCCATAGTAACCGTTGTCATGGTAACAATTGCCGTAGTAACCGTTGTCATGGTAACAGTTGCCATGATAATAGTTTTTATGGCAACCGTTTCAATGGCTATTATCACTATGGTAACAGTTGCCATGGCAACCATTGCCATGTTAAGAGGTGCATGATTTGTTGTGATAGTTTCAATGAGCACAGACAGGTACAAATTAATTAATTAGTTTGTATTTTGTGATTGGAGGAGAGCGGGCGTCACGCCAAGTCTCTACTCAGCACTTTTTACGGCCTGAATTAATTCACAGCTGAATCAATGAGCTCAAGTTTTCAATTTAATTACGGATTATAATAAAACTTGTATGTAGTAACACACATTTTTAAATCGGGTATAGCTTCTTTATGGAAACAAGTCAGGATCCAGTCTAGGTGGGCCACAAACTGCAGAGTCTACATTAAACTGGTGAGAACACGTGAAGAGACGAGAGTCCTATGGATCAAGGATCTACAAGAACTGGAAAACCTGGACTGAGTCCTTAAAGAGCGACTAAACACCTGTGCCCAGCCTTACTCCGCCCACATGAAGATTTGAAAATTTTCTCTTAAAAGGGCGTTGCCTGGAGGACCAAGGGACAAGAAGGGGGGCTTAGAGTTGGGCGTTGTCTGGGCTGTGATTGACAGCTCACTTGTCAAACAAAGAAAAAACAGACAGTTGTCATTGCTGCTTAAAGCAATAGTTTACAGACCAGAAAGTCTCATTCCACCCTTGATTACGCACTGAGATAATTGTAAAGCTAAACACCTGAACCTAATCACACTCAATAATCTCAGAATGACTCATGTAATTTAATTTTAATCCACTAGATGGCGCCAGAATACTCCAAACTGCAGCTGGGGCGTGTGTGAGAGTTGAATGGGTTCACATCACTGGCTCTGACAGACTGACGTCACACAAAACAACTGATGTCATAGAGAACTTCAGAGTCAGTGGAGAGGCCAGGACCAAATTCAAATGTAGTACCACCAAAAAGGTTGAGAGGGCGCCACACAGCGTTTTTTTGCTCAAAAGTGATATTTTATCTAATTTGAACTAAAATGTCAAAAAAATGACCAGGATATGTAGACAGCACAGCAATAAACATATTTATGCAGTTTATGAGTTAAAAAAAAGTTGATTTGGTGTTTAGTCGCTCTTTAAGGACGACACTCAATGATCTAAACTGGATCAGTTTGTAAGGATTAGTAAGTATAAGTTTGCATGACGTAACGACAGACATCGACCCAGAGCTGAACTTTTATACAAACATAAATAATGACTGCA